CCTCGGTTGGCCCATTTAGCCAAGGTGGGCGTTGAAGGGTGAAGGGAGGACCGTGGTTTAGGGTCTACTGTTGAGACTAGAGAAATAGCAGTACTAATACTAGTACTAATAGTACTAATAATAGTAGTAGTAATAGTAGTAATACTAGTAATAGTAGTTATAGTAGTAATAATACTAGTAGTAATAATAATAGTAATTATAATAATAATAATAATAGTAATAATACTAATAATAATAATAGTAATAATAATAGTAATAATAATAGTAATAGTAGTAGTAATAGTACATCAGGTATTAATCCAGAACATCCGAAGTACAAGGAATTTATGGATTTTATAAAATCCAAGCAAGATAAGGATAATAGTCCTCCAACATATTCCTCAGCATTAACAAAGGAAAACCATGAAAGTATTGAGGTTTATAACCGCAAAGAAATAAAAGAATTAATAATTCTTTTAGAACAGTCCGACTTGAAATGGAAGGACAAACCTATGGCAATTAATGGCCAGATATTTTGAAACAGCGACATACGCTACTCCTGCTTATAAATACAGGATGAATTACGAGTTAATACTCTCGTACTGGATCAGCTGAGACTGAGCATTTCTATCCAGCCAATACCAAGAGAATTTATAATTTCTCTAAAATAATTATAAAAAAGGTATTAGCCTCAGATAAATGGAGACTTAGTACTTTAAGGAGTCGTTTGGTTGGAATACGATTTATACCGGTATAAGTTATGCCGGTATAAATTACATTGGGATAAGTTATGATGGGATTGTTGTTTATTCATTATTTGGTATGTTATATTAAGAATGACAATTGCATAATTTCTAAGAAGAAGGTATAAGTTATACCGGTGCTAATTACCCCGCCTTCTATAAGGTATAAGTTATCCCAGTATTAAAATTAATACCGGATAACTTATACCTGGTTTGCTAATCAAACAGATTATTAAGGTGGTATTAAATTTTTATACCACTCTTATACCTTCTTATACCTCATACCAAACGACCCCTAAAGGAAAGGGAATATACCCATCCTGAACAGAAGGTTGCTACAATAACAACATACCCAGTATAATCCCACATGTGGGATCTGGGGAGGGTAATGTGTATGTAGTCCTTACCTCTACCTGGGGAGGTAGAGAGGTTGTTTCCGATAGACCGAGGATAGACCCTCGGCTCAAGAAAGTGTGGAGAGGAAGAGAAGGGAGAAGAAGAAGAAGAAGAAGAAATAATATGGGGAAGAAAGAAACAAGAAGGAGACAAAGGGCGATAAGGCAAAGGGGGAGAAACAGTAGCATCAAATAGTATAATTGTTGTTGTTGTAAGAGCCGGAATAAAAAAAATGCAGCATCAAATAGTAACAATTAGGGAGCAGCAATTTCCAGTAGCAAAAATATTGAACTTGCTGCTAAGTACCAGATATAATAACAAAGAAGAAGCAAGTATCTTTCAACCGACAACAAGAATATTACTAGTACTACTGGTAACCCTAGGAGAAACTCACAACTACCAGTCAACCCACCACCTTAATCGTCGACCTCCACACATTCGTATCGCTAGCCATGTCCTCGGTTAGGTGATACACTGATATGTTAAGTTGTTGTTAAGTTTAATTACTAGGATTATATTGACAACAACAACAACAACCCAGTAAATCCCACTAGTGGGGTCTGGGGAGGCTAGTGTGTACGCATACCTTACCCCTACCCCAAAGGAGTAGAAAGGCCGTTTCCGAAAGGCCCTCGGCTCAAGAAGACGAAAAGAGACAATATCAGTACCACCAATAAAACCATAGGAAAAATAGGTGCAAAGCAAAAGCGATAGACAGTACATAGACACGGCACTATGGAAAACGAAAGAGTAATGAGACGCAACATTGCCACTAACTGACGTCGACAAAAACCCTACCAGACTAACCTCACAAAGGTACGAAGTAAGGAAAAACTCAACTACTTCCTAACCTACAACCCTAATGCTCGACCTCCACAGCTTCCTATCAAGGGCCACCCTCGGAAATCTGAAGCCTCGCCATCTATGTTGCGCGGACTCTCCAAAATGTAGCCGCACTAGTGTCGGATACTTCAAAAATGCACTACTTTTGGAGGATCCGACGCGTATCCGACCACATTTTCGGAGAGTCCGAGCAACATAGCTCGCCATGTCCTGCCCGATCACCTCTCCCCAGTACATCTTAGGTCGTCATCTACCTCTTCTCGTGCCTTCCAAAGCCAGCCGCTCACACCTCATTACCGGAGTATCTGGGTTTCTCCTTTGTACGTGTCTGAACCATCTAAACCTCGCTTCCCACATCTTATCATCAATGGGAGTCACGCCCACCTTCTCCTGAATATCTTCATTCCTAATCTTATTCATCCTAGTGTGCCCGCACATCCACATCAACATCCTCATTTCTGTTACTTTCATCTTCTGGATATGTGAGTTCTTAATAGGCCAACACTCAGCCCCATACATCATGGCCGGTCTAACCACCACATTGTAAAATTTACCTTTCAGTATCGGTGGCACTCTCTTGTCACACAGGATTCCATATGCCAACCTCCACTTCATCCACCCCACCCAATACTGGATTATACTGGAAGTTCTAATAAAACTTTTTTATATGAGAATCCTAATAGGAAGCATTCATGGTTTATAAAATTATGTCCAAATTTATTTAACCAGCAAATACCAAATTGGGTCTACAAATGGTGGAAATTCTACGGTCCATCATTAGAAATATTTCCTCCCCTGTTCAAAAGTTTATATACACAATGGGTGGATATATCCCCCAAAATTATTGCCCTACAAAAAGATAATATCTTTTATGAGGGTATAGCAGCCATGTATTTTTTTATAGAGTTTTCTATCCCATGGATTATGAAATGGGATGTAGAAGTGCGCCCGTCCGCGGAAGGATTAGCTTGCTTAAATAGAATTTTCTATACAAAGTTCTGGAGTAAATTACTCCAAACAGACCAGCAAGGAAAAATTATGGTGAAGAATTAATCCAAGAAATTCAAACCAAAATTGAAGCTTATGTCAAGCAAGAAGTAGCAGATGTTGTAGTGGAAGAATTAAGTCCATTTCAACAAGTTACTAAAAGGCTTCAAACGAAGAAAGGAGCAATCTCCAAAAAGGAAATCATTGCCTCATATTTCGAAGAAATAAAGAAAGATTTGGCAAGAAACTTCGAAGTTGAAGTAGGAGATGATATATCCATGACATTTTTGGGTAATACCTCAGAAGAAGAGACCTGTATGGCAGGTGAGGCTCAAGGAAGCCTATCTGAAAATCTCATCCTCGATGATATTGAGGAATTTCTGAAGAAAATGAAGGAAGGAGCAGAAGAATCTTTTTGCAGAGAAGACAATAAAGGGAAAAAATAAAGCTTAATAATGGAGGTAGTCCCATGTCCTTTAATAATACAGGTGGACCCAAAAACTTTAAAATACAGCAGACCCCACATTCATAATGGAGGGAATCTGCTTTTATAAAGTTTTTGTCCGTTTTTCTTTTTAGCTTTTAGCCTTTTTGACTTTTAGGCTTTTGCTTTTTATCTTGTCGGTCACGATGTACTTATTTTGTCGGCCATTTTACTGTTTAGAATTTGTTTGTTTACAAGCAGATCCATTATATAAGGATCTTCATTTTTTAGTTAGAGACAGGCTTCGACTAATAGCTCTCCCCTCTCTCTAAAATTCCATCTCTCTAGATTTTCATCTTTGTAATTCTCCTCTTGTAAAAATTTTATATTTGGAATAAAAAAATCAAAAAAGGCTACTTGGCCACAATCTCGACGGTCTCAAGTATTTTTTATTTCTAGTATTTTAATTTTAAACTTGTTTATTCATTTAGCTTAAATGATAGGCTAAATATTTATGTGTTAAACTTAGTCACACTAAGCTACTCTTAAGCATGTTTTATTGCTAGTTTTACTGTTTCACCCGACGATTCTACGGTTGAGACTATAGAGCCTAGGCAGTTTATAGCCCAAGCAGTAAACCCTGTTTATGGCAGCATAAACAATGTCTCTTAACCCGTGTTAGCCAGAGAAGGCGTTGAAGGGTATGGAGGGGACGTGGTTTAGGGTTTACTTGACATGGTTGTAGCTTGACAGGGCTGGTGTCTCTGTAAAAGTTTTCCTGTAGTTCTGTCGAAGCGTTTAATAATCTCATTATATTAGGATACTACACTTTAACTTTCCATATCTAATACCTACTACTATTCAGCTGACCCACTTTTGCCCAGTAATAAATATCAATAATAACTCCAATATCTTATCCAGCGAAAGATACTATGAAATAGGCATCCAAGACTTTTCAAAACGCCTTGGAAAAATAGTTGTTACATCTATAGCAAAATAAAAAAAATGGCTATCAATTAACTTTAAGATTTTAAGGATAAAGATTGTGTTTATCATTATACATCGTCAAAAAACTTATACACCATCATTTAAAGATTGTGTTCATTTAAAGAGAAGTAACAAATAAGTACTAATTTTAATGTTATTTACAATGGAATATATGATCTTTTGCTCAAGGATTGATGTAATGCAGTTCGGTGTAGCCAACTTATGATGAGCTAACAAGCAGAGGTAGTATGAAGGATTCAGCATCATGCTCCTTAGAGATTCTATGAGATAGCGGTACAATGAAGTGTCTTTTATAATTTTTATTATTGTGTACAATCACCTGCCATGAAATTTAACTGTGCCTTTATCTATGTGTTTCTGGTGATACTGCGATAGGCCAATAGCATGGTCACCTTTATCCACAAGGTGAAACTTTATATGGTAATTATCCATATAACTGGAACAAATGCCAGAGGCAGTAGTGATATGAAATTATAGCCTATAATGCACCCTGTCCAATATTAAATCTACCAACAAACATAAATCTATATGACCTTGCCTGATATTTAAGTCACTCTTGTGAATGAACTAAACCAGCAATTGCGCAATCACAACAAAATTCACAATTGTTGTGCAATAAAAGATCAAGAAAAATCTCATATCATTAAAACAAGATTAAAAAAATAGAGATGGGAACAACAATCGTAGAAGCAGAGGGACATACCGCAGGTCCATTTAGCGTCGGATCGGAAAAATGCCTCGTCTCGTTTTATACAAGATGGATGGTAAGCCTTCGGACACCCCCTAACAGTTAAGGAAACAATCAGTAATACAATCAACTATTCAATTAGCTATTTCTCAATCTCAAACCATTACGAAAGCAATTTAGAATAAATTAGAAAAAGTACTTTTACATTTACCATTTATGAAGTGCTACTATATCAATTTTTTTAGCTGAAAGTGAAGTAAACTTCAACAAAACGATTCAAAATAGAAAGGAGGCAAAAATTAGAAACTTAATTTATGTGAATACCGAAAAGCGCGTGGTATACTCACTTGCGATCGCATAGGACAAGAGAACCACCATCGAAACAAATGAAGCAAACATCTTCCCCCTCGTCGTCCTCCTGTAGCTGTCTTTTTGGTGACTTAACTTCTGCCACAGCTCCACGTGGCGGCCGTCCTCGCTTCCGCTTCTCAACGGAGCCGATCATCGCCACCGAAGTCTTCACCTCCACAGCCACCGTAGTAGCAGCAACCTCAGCATCCGAGGACATCGCTACGGGAGCTCCAACTAGCTGCGAGTCGTCCATATCGTGAATTGAAGTGCAGAGCTCCACTGAATTATCACCGTCCATGGAGAATTGAGCTCGGAGGGAGTGTTATATAAAAACCTAGCTTGGTGAATTGGCCGGTGGTTTTGACGGCGGAGTAATGATCGGAGAAGTGAGGACGGTGATCATTGACCATGCGACGGACGTTGTTTGAGTAGGTGGAAATTTCTGAGACGGAAAGGGAGAAAGATAGAGGAGGACATAGGGGACGGTGGTTGGGCCCCCCTATTGGCGGAGTCAATTGTGTGTAAAATGTTTGTGAGATAGAGAGAGAAATACAACTAACAACAATCCAGTATAATCCCACTCAGAGGGGTTTGGGAGGATAGTGTGTATGCAGACCTTATCCTACCCTAGTTAGAGGTAGAGAGACTGTTTCCAAATAGACCCCCGGCATCCAAAAACTTCTCACCTTGCTCTTGGGAGACTAGAACTCACAAACTCTCGGTTGAAAGTGAGAGTTGCTTAGACTAGAACTCACAAACTCTTGGGCAACCCTCTTGTCTGGTGGGGTAGAGAGAGAAATAGGACAGAGAATTTGGTGGGGCTTAATCTTTTGGCAAAACATGACTTGTGAATACACATGGAGATTCATTAGCGGCTCATGTGAAGAGGCGCAGGCTCCTCGAGCACAGCCTGATGTATTGTGAAAACAGTGGGTACAAATTTGGTTACTCCTTCCATTTCTTTTTTCATAAGTTTTAATGTGTCACATAGGAAGACTTATGGTTTTTTAAAAAAAAATATTTTTTTGAAAAATATATTTAGAATCACTTTTTAAAAATTTGATCGAACACTAATTGCAGCTTAGAAGTATTTTCAAATTAATTTACCATAAATAAATTGTTTCTCACCAAAAGTATTTATGAAAAAACACTTTTAAAAAAAATCTCAAAATAAATTAATTTTAAAAGCTTGGCCAAATATGCTATTGAAAGGGCAAGTGGAATGGTATAGCCCGTTTAGGGATACACATCCAAGGTCGTTGATTTTTTATTTTGAATTTCTCATCCACTATGTGCATTTTAGACTAATTCATATTAGTGCAGCTAAGGAATTTGAGTTGATTTGGAGCAGTGAGCACCATAGCCAAGTGGTGCGGGAGAGGCATGTGAAAGTCATATCTTAAGGTCCATTTGCTAAATGGTGGATGAGTCAGCATATCAGATTCTGTCTATATTCAAGGCATGTCAATTGTCATGCACTCGAGGTACATCCGCTTGATTGATTTATGCTGTTTTTGAGGTATTCTCGAGATTTGTTATTACCATCGTATTTCTCTATAATAATATCCCTATATAATAGTTAATTACTATAAAAGCTAAAAATTGGAACTAATTTTTATATTATGTTATAATATATGGTTTCTATAATCGCACTTCATTATAGTAGCCAAAAAATATTATAACAAACAAGACTGTTATAGAGAGGATTGACTGTATAATTTCTATAATTAAATTGCTTTATTCAGTACAAATACTTGAATAAGTATTACTCCCTCCGATCCACAATAAGTGACCAATTTAGTTTTTCATTTTGGTCCAAAATAAGTATCTATTATATAATCAAGAAAAAATTTAATTTATTTTCCAAAATTATCCTTATGTATGTATCCTTAAAAAGTCATTCACTCCTCACATTTGAGAACAGAATAAGTGCTACTATAATTATGCTGCAACATTTAATTAAGGGTAGTTTAGTCACACTAATTATATTGTTTGAGCAAAAAAGTATGAGACCTTTTTTGTTAAACTAATTAAATAAGAAGATGGAGGGTAAATCCTAGTTAAGGATAATTAATTCTAGATCCGAGATGAATAATATGAATAGAGAAACATAGCTGAGTATAAATGCTGGCAGTGATTATGGCCAGATTTAATAGCATAAAGAGAGATGCATTAAGTAATATTAAATGGCAATAAAATGTAAATAAAGGAAAAGATTCACCCAAGCTTGAGTGAAGTGTATCCTCTTTTATTTGATAAAGATGAAGGATAACAAATACAAGGACCTTAGGACCCTTTTTGGATCTGATGAAGGTCTGGGATCACAGATCCTCTAATCTCTTTAGAGAGGTATGTTTACATATTTTCTAGAGAGAGAGAGAGAGATAGCCCCTTTTGGGAAGTCTTTTCTTCCTATTTATAATGGATATCCATAGAAAATCCTAAAAAGTATAATTAGAGAGAATATTCAATAGAATATTTCCTTTGAGGATTCCAAAGCAAACTAGCTATTTCATCACTGCCCGACCTCGGCCTTATTGATGACTGTCCGACCTTGGCCTTATTGATGACTGTCCGACCTCAGCCTTACTGTCTTCGCGTGCCGAATTTCTCTAATCTGATTTTGATCCATGCATATATTTGTCTAAAATTTAATATTTTCTTATTGGGCATGCCCAAACCAAATTGATCACTTATTGTGGACTGGATGGAGAACCTTTTAACTTTTGTGTATCCGTGGCTCTTTTGGGATGCGTGGATTCTCAATTTCTCTTGGTCTTGCAAACACGTGAACAAGTTGAAACTTTTAAATGAATGGAGCCGCTCTTCGCTTTTAAGTAGTGGAAGTAAGAGTCAAAATAGTTAGGTTGGTCACCAAGTGAGTCGCCCAAAAAAGTGACTACACTCGAACAAGGACTGCCTAACTCCTCCTCCTATACCATGCAATTTTCATCAGTTTAAATAAGTGTCCCAGTCAATTTGCGATTTGCGAAAAGCCAAAGTTTACGTAAGAGAAGATAGATGCTTCTACTTGTTGACGATTATCGATTTGCAACGAAAAATTTTTACTCACATTAAAAAGGAAGATATTCCCCCACTCAAATGGACTTAGGGGTCGTTTGGTTGCTGGTCAGAAAGAGAGTTAGTTATGTACTCTAGCTTATACTATGTTTTAATTGTTTCGTACTTTCGTTATAACTTTCAGCACATCATGTACGTTGCTTGATTATTATTTTACAATTCCACATATTAAAAAAAAATTATCAGTCAATTTATGTATTATTTTATGCGAGATAAAAAATAAAATAATAAATCATACATAACTAATCATTGCATAACTAATTCCTACATAATTAATCTATACATTATGAATATCTGCATAATTCTAATCGGCAACCAAACAACCCCTTATAACATTAACTTCTGTAGGGGTGACTTACTACCAATTTATGTCAATTATCATAAATATAATAAACTCATACTATATTTTATACTAATTTTTTTAATTGTTCTCATTTATATATTCACTTGGTCTCAAGCAATATAACACGTTACATTTTGGAATGTTTCCAAAATATTAGATGTCATCTTATAAACTTTATTAATTTTAAAGATTCAACTTCACTTTAGTATTCATCACTTAACCTTTCATTAAATATTTGATTCTAGTAAATCGATGTTTCATTATTTTTATATTTTGTTCGGTATGCCCATAAAACACTAGGTAATTCCTCGGGCCAATTGCCTTTAGCCACTTCCAACCTCTTTTTGAGGTATTGTATAATCACTTTGTTCGTTGACTCCGCTTGATCGTTTGCGCTCGGATGATAAGGCGAAGATGTGATCCTCTTTGCTTTCAAGTCTTCGAGGAACTTTGTGACTTTTGCATCGATAAATTGTGGCCCATTATCACATGCTATCTCTTTTGGTATTCCGAACCTGCAAATTATATTTTCCCACAAGAAATCCACCATTTCGCGCTCGTCGATCTTCTGATAAGGTCATTCTTCTACCCACTTAGAAAAATAGTCAGTCAAAATTAAAAGAAATCTTTCCTTTCCGGGAGCCAGTGTCAATGGTCCGACGATTTCCATCCCCCACTTCATGAACGGCCATGGGGACAGAACCGAATGTAAAGGTTCTGCCGGTCGATGCACTAGTGGTGCGTAGTGTTGGCACTTATCACATTTTCGTACGAAGTCTTTGACATCTTGTTCCATGCGGGGCCAATAATATCCTGCCCTTACCAACTTCAGTACTAAGGAATCTGCGCCCGAATGCTTGTCGCATATCCATTCGTGAACTTCTCGCATGACGTAATCACCTTCGGATGCCCCTAAGCATCGGGCCAGTGGGACTTGAAAAGACTTTCTATACAATTGGCCTCTCTTGAAGTTATATCGCGCCGCATTGATGCACATCGGGCCAGGATGCTTTAGGGTCTTCAGGTTACTTCCCGTGCTCGAGATAATCGATGATTTCACTCCTCCAGTCCCAGACTAAATTAGTTTGTAGTATCCAGGACCGATTTCATCAGCTGTACTACCATCCCATATTTCGATCCCTTTATTTCTTTCGATGATCCAAGGTTAGCCAATGTGTCTGCTTCTGCGTTACCTTCCTCGGGATATGAGTAATTGACCACTCCCGGAATCGAGCCAACAAAGCCTGAACCTTCACCACATATTGTTGCATGCGCTCCTCTTTGGTTTCGAAGATCCCGTAGACCTGATTTACCACTATCCGTGAGTCGTATTTGAGGGCCAGTTCGAGTCCTACAATCAAAGCTTCATACTCTACTTTATTGTTAGTTAAAGGAACCGTTCTGATGGCTTGCCCGAGGGTTTCCCCCGAAGGTGTGATTAATAGTATACTAAGCCCGGACCATTTTACGTTGGAATCTTTGTCCGTAAATAAGGTCCAAATCCTTGATGTTAATTCTGACACCATTACTACCTCTTTGGTTGCCAAAGGCAGTAATCCCGGATTGAAATCAGCCACTAAGTCAACCAAGACATGCGACTTAATTGTAGTCCTTGGTTTATATTCTATTTCGAACTCACTCATTTCAACGGCCCATTTGGCCAATCTACTTGAGAGCTCGGGTTTGTGAAGGTTGTTTCGCAAAGGGAAAGTGGTCACCACAGCTATCGGGTAACATTGGAAGTAGGGCCTCAGCTTCCGAGCGACGACTACTAGAGCTAAGGCTAATTTCTCCAAATGTGGGTAGCAAGTTTTTGCTCCCGTTAAATTTTTACTAACATAATAAATGGAAGATTGCGTACTTTCGTCCTCACGGACTAAAACCGCACTTACCGCAACTTTCGAGACTGCGAGGTAGACTAACAATGTTTCATCTTCTTTTGATTTTGATAGTAATGGAGAGCTTGATAAGTATTTTTTAAATCCCTCAAGGACTTCTAGCACTCCGGGGTCCATTCAAAGTTATTAATTTTTTGAGCAGTGCGAAAAAATGATGACATTTTTTTATGACTGGAAAGTGAACATGCTCAAAGCTGCCAATCTCCTCGTAAGTCTTTGAACTTCCTTCACGTTCGACAATTGGTCTGGGATATCT